TTAGGCCCATTTCTTTATGGATAAAATGAAGAGGATCAAACTCATCTAACTCACAAAATGAATTTGATGACAAAATTATGCAATAGAGGTGAAAAGGCTTCAGAAAATACAAAGCTCTATACAAATGCCAAGTAGCAGAATGGGGATTGTAATTTTCCTTATGGGCCAATGTTTGCACCCAGGAAGACAATGGCCAGTATAGACTCAAAGAACTGGCAGCAAAACTTAAATCAGTTTATTCTAGGGAACTTCTCCCCTTTGAAAAATTGTGCAGCTGCTAATAGGATTTGCTGTTGGCTGTAAATAGAAACAACTGTGGCTTTGGGCTCATCCTATTACCTCTGTAAAAAACTTGGGCAATGTGTTTACCTCTATTCATCTATTAAATGGGTTTAACATCTTTCCTCTGAGTTGTTATTAGTATCAACTAAGCCACTGCCTGAGAAAGTGCTACATTTTATAAGCTCTAAAGAACTATAAAGGAGGCATTAAATGTATATGGGTTTGTTTCAAAACTATTAAATTTTTTACAGTCTAGGACCAGAAATACTTACTTGAGCATTCTAAGTTTAATAAAAGCTCTCAGGAATCTTGCACCATGAGTGTCAAATTGCTTACTCCTTCTCTTATGTCACCCTGGTGTCAATCCTACCTGTTGTTAGGAGCCCAAGAGCCCAAGTGGGAGCAAAGGGTCAAGTCATATCTGCAAACTGGAAGTCCTGCCCTGTGCCGGGCTTGTGACTGAGAGTCAGAAGTATGCCTTTTTCTCACCCAGGGTGACCTGCAGTCTCAGTCCATGGTGAGATCAGTGGCACGTCAGGTGTGTGAACAGCTCATCCAGAGTAAGTGCATTATAATTATGGTTGTTTTCTATTACTTGTCCAGATTGGAATTTGCCTTTCCCATAAACGTAACGGCTTAGAAAAACACCTCTAAAGCTCTGTCTCCATGCAGACACATAAGCATTACTAACCCATCTAAGAGATTGTTACAGATGACCCTGGAATTCTACATTGCTGGCACAGGCACCAGGGGCCTCTGTGTCACCTGTCCCGGAGCTCTCCTTTTACTCCTACAGAGTTATGACTGCCCAGATCAAACCTTTTACTCCTTCCTCATCTCTCAGCACTTGATATGGCTACTCAGCACTCGAAAGCTTCCAGACAAAGGCATCAGAAGCGACTTGGCAAAAACTGGTTCATAGTGTTGATTTCTGTTAACTCACTAAATTTAAATCAATATCTCCTTTTTTATCCTTTATTATTGTGGTTAGCCCAAGGTCCTTCCCTTTATTCTTTATGCCAGAATACAAGCACACATATACACAGGGACAGGCTTCATGTGACATTTGTCATGATATTCAGGCTTCATGTCAAAAATTACACTAGAACACACTTAATATGACACCTGTCCCACTTCTTCATTTAAACTCAAGCTTTCCCAAAACATAGTATTTAAATTACTGCTGTGTCTTTATTCACTTATATATCCACCCATTTTGTATATACCCCGCTACCCACCGGCTCTGTATTTTGTCTCAGTAATCTACCCAGAGGTTACTTGTGTGGACCCTCTTTCTCTTTACCAGTAATTTGTTCATTTCCAGGAAGATCTAAGGCCATGCATAGAAGAAATATTCTTCCCACACCCAGTCATCTCTGGCCTAGCTCTGCTCTGAAGCCTCCCACCCAGATAGCACCTTCCCTGCGTGGCTACCTAACAGCTTTGAAGTGTTATATTTTTTAACCAGGGGAGTTTGGGAGTCCTGTAAGTATCCAAGGTCCAAGGAGTCCCTATTAGCTACGTCCAAATTTCCATCTGTAGTAGATAAACCCAGATCTCACCCTGGGGAAGGCATGATGCAAGGTCTGCACAGTCTCGTGGTAGAGTTTTCATTAAGACAAAATTCTCAGGGCAAACTGAGTATAAAACTACTATCTTCAGATATAATAGTAATGCTCCCTATATTTTAACTTTATTTAATTTGATATTTTATTGCCCAAACTAAATTTGTGTGTGTGTGTGTGAGAGAATTTACGAGTTAAGTGAAACTGTTCCAGTTTAATGCCAACAGAGGATCTTTAAAAACAGCAAACTAGGAGAGGGAAGTTGAAAATTAATTAGAATATGTTCAAAACTAACTTGTACCTTAGATCATTTTGTAATTTTCTCATTTCAAGTATGAAGTATAAAATTGTTTCAAGGAAATCTAGAGGTTAAATCCTGATGTGACTCACTGGCCAGACATGTGGAAGATTTCACAGCAGTTGCTATCTTACTCCACCGGAATAAAAATCCAATGTAAATATATGATTATTCAAAACATACTCTAAACATTGAGAATTCCAAATTGAGTTTTTCCACTCAGGAATCCTCAGATTCTTGTGAATGACATCTAGGAAATGGAAGCCAGCAGGGGTTATAAAGAAAGCTAAAATAAATCTGTAAAGAAAGGAGGCTCTGTCTGTTAATGCAGTTGTGAGAGAGAGAAATCGAGGAGATTGCATGCAGCTTTACGAGCAAGACCTAACCTACCCAGGGCTGTATTTCTGGCACCTCAGCCATCTTCCTGCACACAACTTCAGGTTTCTCTGGGCCCCTATTTCATTCCTCAGGCTTCCCTTCAGAACTTGATTCAGTTAGTGTTATCATTCCTCAAATGCTCAGTTATCTCATTTTTAATCCAGAGCTGATCAGAAGAGTTTATGCTAGGAAAGGTTATATGTGAAAAAGTGTGAGGCCAAAGTGATGACAGCTCGAGAGGTGAGAAAGCACAGTCCCCATGTTAGAGGAAGAGGCTGAGAAAGCAGATGTGGAAATGTGTGACCCCCTCTCCCCCCACCAGACCGTCATGGATGTGCCTGCTGATGGCCCCTGAGTCATGGGGAAGCCAGTCCTAGTTATAGACATGGTCCTATAGCTAAGAATGCATTGAATATATTTTAGAAATAATGCCCTTAAAAATGGTTGATATTCCTTATATAAGTTTGAATGTTTGAAAAGGGATAAATCACAGTCATATTGGAAATTTATTTATGGGGGAAAATCTTATTCCTGATGATGTTGGAAAATTAGACATTATGGTATCAAGTACTCCATCAATCTGTACTTCATCTTATTAAAATGCAATCTTCTAGACAAAACAGAGTTAAGGGATTATGTGAGAGAGAGCCAGATTTTTTAAAAAAATAAAGCTAGTGGGAGTTTCTGCATCTGGGACCCAAAGAGAGGTTCCTGCAAAAAGGCCTGGCAATGAAGAGATGAATTGAAACAGAACACTTGCCTGGGGATTTGTGAGCAAGAGGGTGGAGTAGGCTTTGTGGGTTGGAAAAAAGACAAACGACTTGAAGGGAAATTGCTGGAGATAAAGGGCAGCTGAGTGAGGGATTAGGGGTCAGATAAATGTTGGGGGTGAAGATAAAATTTATGACTTCTGCTCAATAATGTTTTCTAAGATGCTAATGTTAGCTGTGGAATTCCGAATACATGAGCCTCGACTTGAATATAATCCAATTGTTAATGTCATCTAAAGTAAAACGTAAAATTTTTAAGTTGGGAATCATCGTATTTCGGCGGGGTATGCTTTCCTCCATGTGGGTGACTGGCAGAATTGTTCAGAGCCTAGACAAGTCACCTTCCAGCCCTCCCTTTCTGGGTGTGACAGTTCATTGGATGCTGTTTGTCCTTCATGTCTCAGGTCACATGGCCAGATACACAGCCATCCTCAACCAGATTCCCAGCCACTCCACATCAATCCGGACCATCCAAGGGCCTCCTGGGGAGCCTGGGAGGCCGGGCTCCCCTGGCACCCCTGGTGAACAAGGACCCCCAGGCTCCCCGGGCTTCCCAGGAAATGCAGGCGTGCCAGGGACCCCAGGAGAACGAGGTAAGCTAGACCCCTCCTCTCTTTGAACCTCTCGGAGAAGAGTGTAGTGATGCAGACAGATGGTAACAGTGGTGCTTATATGATGATGAAGTCCCGAATAATGGACCTAAATTATAGTCTTCGGCTTCTTGTTTATTTATCAAGATTGAGGAAATTGAGTAATCTCCACAGTGTCTATCAAGATCCATATCTGCTTTTATGAAAAAGGAGGATCAGAAACCCCAACTCACCTTTAAGAGGCTTTTGAGCTAATGAGAGAAAAATGAATTAAGAAGAGGTACCCCTTCGCAGTGGAAGAATTAGAAAATGATGCCCCCCTCTAGTCAGATGTGCCATCACACATATGTCATGGTAAGCAGAGAGCTCACTTCCTACATCTTTCCTGTTTGGGTTCCTGGACCTGATTCTAATGTGTGTGTACATGGGAGTGAGTGTAGGAGCAGGGTGTCTGAGAACTCAACTGAATTCTAACACTATCTGCCTGGAGACATTACCAGATCCCCCAAGTTAAGGCCTCCATCCTACAAGATTGCCCTCTATCCCGCCTCTCCAGGTGCCCTGCCCGTCTCATGCCCTAGGCAGTTACCTGTGCCTCTGACCAATAGGCTACAGATTGGAGGTTCCCATAACCTCCCCCTTAGGTTTGACTCATTTGCTAGAGCAGCCCACAGAACTCAGGATTCATTTATGTTTACCAGTTTAATACAGATACCATAAAGGATACAAGCTAATAGCCAGATGAAGAGCTACATAGGACAAGGTCCCAAATAAAGGAGCTTCTATCCTCATGGAATTTGGGGCCTGGCTTGGTGGCACCTGGAAGCATTTTGGTTCCCCAACTGTGGAAGCTTTTTCCAACAGGGAAGCAGGGTGCAAAACAGAGAGCATAGTGCTCATCTCATGGGGTTTTGCAAGGGCTTCAGTGCAGTTATGACTGATTAAATCATTGGCCATTTGCTGGATTTAACCTCTAGCCCCCACACTTGGGTAGGTCCAAAAGTCTCTCATTAAGACACCCATTTAATCTTCATGGCTCTGAAGCATTTTCAGGAACTGTGGATGAAGACCAATAATATTTGAGAAATAATTTTGATCATTTGAATGACCAAATATATATTTCTTATAACTCATTTATATTGCAGTCTTTGGTTTTTTTCTTTGTACAGTGCCCATACTGGGCAACAGTCAGTGGCAGCCCTGAGGTGAGTCATGAGTAATATCAACATAGGATTCACATATGCCTAGGTAGACCATGTCAGCTATCAACTTCAAATTCAAATACTGTTTGTGGCTCATTTTCCTATAATATGAGGCAGCATTTTATTTAATAATTCCATGTGCCAATATTTTGTCTTTCTTAGTAAATTTTCTTTAAAATAGAGATCCTATTTAGCCTTTATTTTTACTTTCCACAGGTCTGAGCAGTATTGTGTAATATAATATTAAGACTCTTTGAATTTCACCCAGTTCTATAATTGACCAAGATCTCTCACTCCAGAAGCAGACCGAAGAGATATGGGAAATAGAAATTACATATTAACCACAAAGAAAGTGATGAGAAAACAGACAACTGATAAAAATGTTTTCTAAGACGCAATTTCATAGGATGTAGATCTGGGGAAAAGCTATTACCTGTCTGCTCTGTGAATCATGTTACTTGTGAGATGGGTAGGATATACTCCTTTTATAAAATTTGAGACATAAAATGCAGATTGCCAAGATAGTATTTCATGTTCCTTCTTGATCCATGCCCACAGGCCTTGTGCATTTCTGCCTCTGCACTTTCATGCACACTGTTCTTCCCCCTTCAGAAATGCCCTTCGCTTTCCCTGTCTGATGTGCTTCTTACTCTTAGTTCAAGGCTCAGCTTAACTTTTGTTTCAGCCCACAAATGTCTCCATCCCACGGAACACCTGGTGCACTGACTCTTACCCACCCAGTTTAGCACCCGTCAGATGTTAGGGAACAGCTAGATTGCCTAGAGCAGGAATTGGGGCTGAATTGCTTTGCACATAATAGGTCCTCACTAGATAGTTGTTGCTTTGGTTGGGACCCAGTTCTGATTTTCCTTTCTGAAGTTTATCCTGTGCCAGGGAACTAAATCAACAGATGGAGGGAAGGGCAAAATTTCCTCACAGCACACAAAAGACCTGGCAGCCAGGAAGTGGCCCCCTCTGTCAGCAGGGCACCCTCTGATGGTGTTGGCAATGGATTGACTGTGACTCAGGGAGCTCAGAGCCAGTGGTTGAGTCACTCTCAGCAAGTCACATGTTGTCTTTGTTCTTTCTGGAAGTCCTGTCCTTACTCTTGCCAGATTGAGTCTTTCCTGCTGTGAGAGCCCTTGAATGCTTAGACCAGAGGAAAATCATGCAGTTTTCAAACAGTGATCCAGACAACCCTTGAAATATGAATTTCCATGACATGATTTTCTTACATACATGGAGATGTATATATTCCTAAAGAGTATAGTAGACTAGCAAAATCCTATATTTCACAAATACTGGAGGACGACAGTAAGACAAAAAGTAAGAAGTGCCCTTGAGCATGATGGAAGATGACTTTTGTTGATCACCATTTAAGGAGTGTGGTTTTGGGTTAAGGGTGGTGTTTGTAGGCCAATTACCCAGAGACTTTTCATTCCCAGGAAAATATTTCAATCCAGCTGTAGTTGGGATTTTTTGCTGCAAGAAAGAATGATGTTTTGAACTTTTGGTCCAAATACCCAAAGAAGATTGAGAGAGAAAAATGTCTGCCTTTGCACTAAGAAAAAACAACATAATTTTAAAACTGAACAAAGCTCGGCCATCTTTTCTCCTGACCATTTATACAGAAGGAATCATAAAAATATTGAGGATCAAAGAGGCTCAGTCAGTTAATATCAGGACTAGAAGTAAAAAGCAGAGATCATGGAGTGGGGGAGTTTGCTGTATAAAATAAGATTATCACTATGCTCTATAATATAATTTTGAAAGGACACCCTATTGTAATGAGTAAAAATAAGTTCCTTCTAGGCACTGTATTTAGACAAATGACAAACTACAAAAGCACGATTAAAAGAAATATGGCTGTTGAGCTCTCTGGCTTAGCACTTAAATGAACTTCATTTTCTGCAGAGGTTTCCAGCGAGTCTCACATGAGTTTTCATAAAAAAATTCATGACTCCATTGACTTTGGCTAAATTTTGTCACAAGCACTGCATCTGATGTCTCTGTTATAATTTTTCAAAAGGTTTTCAAACCTTCATAAACATGATACACAGTAAGAAATACATTTTACATCATGATGCAGTGTGCACATGCATGTGTATGCATACAAACTTATATCACTGAGGCAAAAAGAAATACTACTTACCCCTACTACCTTGAACTCTTTTCTTCTTTTGTTAAAGGCTGAGGAGCAAACTTAGATTTCATGACCTCAGTTTGAAATAATTGTTCTTGTACAGGATCTTTGATTAACCCTATCATCATCAATGAAATAGCCCCAAAATATGTATTTTTAAAGAACAGAAGAGCAGTTTCACATCTCTCCTCCATGTTAGCAATGTGAAGTGTGTGGCTGGCTGTTCACGACTGTCATTACCTAACAAGACTATTTTTGCTCCATCTGAAAATCTACCTCTCTACCACTACCTCTCTCTCATTTGTCTCCTTTAGTTTACACGAAGTCATTTTTATAAGTTTGTGTGGAGCAGTCTTTTTTTTTTTTTAGATAATTATTTTTTATTGAAGGGTAGTTGACACACAGTATTACATTAGTTTCAGGTGTACAACACAGTGATTGAACATTTATATACATGATAATTCTAGGTACCAGCTATCGCCATACCAAGTTGTTACAATATTTTGACTATATTCCTTATGCTATACATTACATCCCGGTTACTTATTTATTTTACAATTGGAAGTGTGTACTTTTTTGTTTGTGTGTGAAGGTATCTCTCCTATTTATTGATCAAATGGTTGTTAACAACAATAAAATTCTGTATAGGGGACTCAATGTGGAGCAGTCTTTTAATTATCTCCTCAGATAGGTTGTAATATATACAAAAAATTCTTCAAATTTAATGATTCGAAGGGGTCCTGTAGCTTACTTTGTTCATCTAAAGCTTGAACTCCAACTTAGACTTGTCTAAGTATTGGCACCCAGAATTGAAGAGGTTCCATTTGCATCACAGAAGCAAAATATTATGCAGCCCAATTTCTCACCTGCTTTTTTTTTTGTCACTTACGCTGCACTGTTACGTCAAAGCAAAGCTGCTCCCTCATGGGCTAGGAATTTGTTTCCTCTCCCCATTATGTCCTGCCCTGTCTTCAGGTATATCCTGGCTCTATATCCTGGCTTCCAAAATTCAGAAAAGGGGATGAATCAGCTTTGAAGCTCCTCTTTTGTTCCCTGAGTCCTAACTGTTCTGACCATAACTTACTCTCCAGTCATAGCCACATGTAATTCTAATAAGGTCCCCTTGATAAGAGCTGCATTTCTAACTCCAATGTCTGCGTGTCAGGCCCAGATGACTCATCTATTTCCTTATTCCATTGACTAAATGTTTATTATCCACACTGACATCTTGAATCATATATTAACCCACTCAACAGTAAGTTTGTTGACAGTGACTGCATTGGGGGATGGGTGGGGACTTGATAATATGGGTAAATGTAGTAACCACATTGTTTTTTCATGTGAAACCTTCATAAAAGTGTATATCAATAATACCTTAATAAAAAATTTAAAGAAAAAACAGTAAGTTTGGTGGTCTCCAGCTCACACAATTAAGTTTCTTTATTTACTTGAAAAAAACTGGAAAATATTCCTGATTTCAGAATTTGTGCAACTCCTTCAGTTTCCATGATTCTCCAAAATATATTGGCTCCCAGGGATCCTCTAACTAGAGAGTTTCATGTTTAGATTCTATATCCATAACAGATGGAATTCATATCTGGGTTGTTTTGTACAATAAATTAGCAAATATTTATTTAATGTAAGAGTTTACGTAAGGG